AAGCAAAACATTATAAGTGTAACACATGCAACCGATTATCTGAATGGCATCTCCCAACCATTTTGGATGAACAGCATCCCACTGTAAAGCAATTGAAATCAGAGATATTTTCTCAGCTGCAATACCATTTCTGATACAAGTATAGTATTTACATGTACTTGATTTCATTTTCATTTCCACTGCTTCTCTTCCCTGTGGTTTTCTGACTCATTTTTTCTTTTCTGTTTCTTTTCCATTCAACTGATTCATTTAGTCAGAGGAATGGTAACAAGGGGATATTGAGGTAGAATTGGCAAAAATGTTTCAGCATGTGTTCTGTTAATTACTGATTATTTAAACTACCAGTGGGTGGCCTTCTACCTTCCAGGTAATAATAATAATCCTTGCATTTGATATAACACCTTATCAACAACAACAACAACAAAATTACATTTGTATATCACCTTTCACGTCAGGAGGACGTCCCAAGGTGCTGGACAGTCAGTGTTTCGGACCCGAGCTGGATCATATCAAGCCATCAGTATGTCTCCAAATACTTCACAAGATATACTGTAAAGTGGATTGAAAATGTATTTTTGAAAGGAACGCAGCAGCTCAGGATGCACACAGCAGTGTCCCACAAACAACAACAACATTATATTTGTGTAGTGCCTTTCACGTCAGGAGGATGTCCCAAGGCACTGGACAGACAGAGTTTCGTAACTGAATGGGGGTCAGGGTTGAGGAGGGTGGAGGGCAGGTCGGGGAAGCAGGGAGATCCAAAGCATGGTCAAAGAGGAGGATCTTTGAGATGGGTTTTGAAGGTGGCAAGGGAGGGAGTGAGATGGAGGGATTGCAGGATGGAGTTTTGGAGGGTGGAGGCAGAGTGGCAGCAGGCCCGGCTGCCAATAGTGGATTGAGCAAGGTGGGGGACATGAAGCAGGCCGGAGCCTGCTGAGTGGAGGGAGCGAGCAGGATGGTAGGGGATTAGGAGGTCACAGAGGCAAGGGGGGCCATGATGTCAGTGACTAATTATTTTGGGGGTGGGGGGGGATTGTTGACCAGGACACTGGGAGAAACTCCCTTCTCTTTTCAAACAGTGCCATGGGATCTTTAACATCCGCCTAAACATGCAGATGGCACCTTAGTTTAACGTCTTATCCAAAAGACAGTAGTGCCATTGCCTTCTGCTAGCTCCCTAGCCTGCCTTTTTTAATGAATCAACATTTTTTGTAATGTAATCTTTGGAGAAACTTCTAACTTGTGTTTTGATTAATGTATGTTTCTGGGTTTGATCTGATGAACAGAGGTGAAATTTGTACTCTTCTTGACCCAGGTCTTAGCTTGGCTCAGTAGTAGCACTGCCATGTCAATCACAAAATTGTGGGTTCAAGCCCCTATGCCAGGACTTGGAACTCATATAGTAGAGCCTGATATTTGAGTGTCGTGCCGGGGAAGTGCTTCATAGACAGACTGGGCGTCCTTTGAATGAGATGTTAAATTGAGGTCCCATCTGCCAGTCTTTAACGATCCCATGGCAATACTTGGAAAGAGAAATGTGGTTCTCCTAGTGTTCTAGCCAACAATCAATCAAATAAAATTGGTCTCCCACTTCATGGCTCTGCTTGGGACATTCCTGTGTCATGCTGGCTGCTGTGCTTGACAACAAATAGGCAGTAAAAGCTTGTAAAGCGCTTTGAGACATCTTGATAGGGTGTCTGATCACCATGTGAATGCAGACAATAGCACATGTATCACTAAGTAGTTTTAGAAGACTGTAAATTGTGCAGAAGCAGTGCTTGGTAAAATGTCAAAATTAATCCCATTTGTGAGAAACCACATTGCTTAGACTAATATGACTGGTAGAGGTTTGTAAAAATTTAAATATTTTCCAATTGTAAATCAAAACAGTATGTTGTTGCTTTACTGTTCGTTATCACCACAGTTCCAGTATTTCAAACAAAACATTGAGGCCCCAAGGTGAGGTAGGAATAAAAGTACTCCATTTAACGTCAATCAAATAAATTCTTTGAGGTGAAAATGTACAGGAAATAAATATTGCACCACCGTTTGAGTGGTAATTAGTAGAAAGTCAGCCTCTGCTTGCTGTTCAATAGAACATTATATGAAATTTGACTGAAATCCAGGATTATATTTTGGCAACGAAACAAAGTCATGCCATTTTACAATGTATCCCATGAAGCACTTTAGGACAGCTGCCTGACTTGAAACACTAAAAAATTCAAAGATTATTATATTTGATGCAATGAGAACTGAGGTCCATGTCTGTAGATTTAAATCACAATGATGTGACACACACACTTCATCATCTCCTTTGCCTAGTAGTTTGCTATAATTGGCAGCTCAGTGCCCATAAATATTGCACTTTAGATGGGCACCTTGCACTATGGACAGTGGCCAAAGTCTAGTGTTCCTAAAAAAAATTGTATTGAAAAACATGGCAGCTTTACTCCATCTCCCCACAGCAAATGAGATACGAAATGGATGGGGGTGGAGGGAAGAAAGAAACTGCATGCCTCTCCCCAATTAAACTATTATTTCTGTGGAATGAATTACAAACAAAATTGTACTTGATAGTTATGTGTTCATTCTCTGAGTAGTAAACCCTGGCATTTGTATTAATACTAGATTGGCATGTTGAAACAAAGCTGCCAAATGTGATTAATGTAAAACAATTTAACGTTGCATTTAAGATCAGAATAAGCTACTGACCAATACCCTAGCTAGGAGTTTAAGTGAAGCAAGGAACATCTATTGAGACACAGAAAACTGCTTTTGAAGCCTAAATTCATCATCAATCTCACTGCAGGATGCAAGTCTCAAAACATTGATGCACTCACCTCAGAACCATGAAGTGTCAGCCTGCAAAAATCATTTTAAAAAATGCAAACAGACAATAAAGAAGCACATTAGGTTTCAATGTTTATTATTTACTTTCTTTATCTACATTCCTCCCCCCACAAAAAAAACTGCATTCCTTTTCAATGCAGGTTCTACAAAATAATGTGCAGCACTGTGCTCCACAAGTTTCAAAAGGAAATACAATACAGAAAAAGCCGAAGCAAAAAGACAGCAACTTTTGCCCCTTTGTTCCAAGTATAAACATTTGCAGCTTTTTAAAAAATTATATACATCTTTTCGTGCTATTTACACTTTTTTTTAAAATGCAGTTTATTTTGCTAAGCCATCACAATGAAAACAATTATTAGGTATGTAAACGATCCATTTAGAAAGCCACTTTGTAATTAGAAATAAATAAAACAATTTTCATGGGAGAGTTTTTTTTTGCAAAGCCAAACCCAAGTTTAAGATTATTCTTTGGTTTCAAATCCCTTCTGATCAGACAGCTCGTATTTAATGATTTCTAAACATCATAAACACACATTGTCCCCATTATCAACTTAAAATGTGTTTTACTAATTTAAAAAAAGAGCATGGCAACATGATAAATAATAATAATCCTTGCATTTGATATAGCGCTTTTCATGTCTTCTAGACATCTCAAAGCGCTTCACAGAATATACTGTAAAGTAAATAAACTGTACATTTGTGGACGAAACATGGCAGCCAATTGTGCAAGGCAGTGTCCCACAAACAGTAACGAATTGAGTGACCAAATTATTATTTTTTTTCTTGAAGGATTGTTATCAGACGTGTGGAGTAAGGAAACTTGCCCGAGGTTTTGCCCTGCTGGGAATCTAACCAAGGTCTCTCGCTTGCGAGGCGAGTGCTCTAACTACTGAGCTACAGAATTCCACAATGTCACCTGGTGGTGGGTGGGGGGAAAGAAAAAAAGGTACCAGGACAATAACTCTCTCAAACCAAGTTCTACGTAGCCCCCATCCTGGAACAGCTTGCACATTATGGGTGAAGGGAACAAGCAAGCGAAAAATCAGTCACATATCCCCCCCCCAAAAATGGACGACTCACATTCCTCCTATTCTTCTCTCCCCTCTTTTGCCTCCAATTTGTTAAGAAAGAGGAAGAGAGCGGCTACGTTTAGAGCAATGTTTTGTTCAACCCCCTGCCCATCCCCCCCCCACAACTTTCTAAAATAACATCAAAGCACATAAGAAAGTTCTATCCTGGCCACTTAGCAAACCTCAGGCAATATTTAGCCCAGCTGGAGCAGTCAGAGAGATAGTGAAGAAAGAGAACACAAGCATAGAGTGGGGGATTCGGTGACTAAGAGGGAAAGCCAAGTCGCCTCAAGGGTAGGACCCCTTCCCCCACCCTAAAAACTCTCATGAGGAGAGCTCCTAATAATCCTGAACAGATCTAATGGATATTAAAACATTATCAATTATTAATATTCTCCTCAAGATGGCCTGTGGGAAGGAGGGTAGAGAAAAATGTTTTTTTGGGGGAGGGAAGGAGAAAGAAAAGAATAGGTGAGAAGGAAAAGGTGTTGTGCATATAAAACCCATCCACAACATCAGCCAGAAGTGGTAAGGACATTACCGAGCCAGTGAAACTAGAATGGTTCCAGTACAATTGGTTCTTTGATTAAAAGAATACCTGTCCCCACCTCCCTCATCCTCCCACTCCTTTTCGCTACCCCTTTCTTCTCTCTCCACCCCCACTTTGAATTATTGTCTGAGAACCCATATTAAATAGACTGCATTGCTCCTCTTTCCTCCACCTTTCTTTAAAATACACTTACAACTATTGTTCATAGAAATCAGAAAAGGGATTTTGAAAGAGGGGGGATTGGATCTCATTTCATCAGGAACCACTCCGCAAATGCAAACAAAATGGGATTTAGTTGTTTAATAACTTTCTGATTTCAATCCTGATCCCACATCCTGTGTCCCAGCTATTCAATGTGGCTAAACTAAATCCTCACCTACCTGGTAGACTTAGCCCAGGTATGATAAAGAGGTGCATCAGGAGTCCACACCAATAGTCATACGTTATTTCTTTATCTTAAAAGGGAAAAAAATTAAAATGAACACAATAGAATAGTAATTCCACTATTCTTTAGTGCAGAATGAGAAACTATGCCTCAGTGCTATTATCTATACAGTATATTATATAAATATCTCCTTATAGCAGTAGTTTCCAAATGGAATGGAGTGCTAAACTAACTATGAAACTTACATAAAACAGCTTTGAGGATTAACCTGATTCAGCAGAACACTGAAAATTCCAATTTATATGGTCGACTATTCTATACAATTTTGATCCAGTTTCTAGTAAATCAACTACTAGTTTCAGCTAAAATAAGCTGCATCATTAAACTCAGGTTAATGCATTGCAGTCTGGGCAACTTTTGTAGTTGTACCGTTAAATGCAACATCCCATGTCATTCTGACAAGATGAGAACTTCAATGAAATGAATTAATAATCTCAAGTATTGATTAGGCTGAATTCCCTTTCCTTGTTCAGTACAAATATTTCCTGCATTCAAGTCTACAGTGTGCCCTTTCAGTGTCCTCCACTACAAATTTACTAAACACTGTCAAAATCTAGCAGTGCTTTGGTCAAAACAAACTATAATGCAGCAAACTTGACAGATCAAATATCAGTACTAACCAACTGCACTGTAGTGCATGTTTGCCTATGAAATGGACATGTGCTTAGTTGATTATATGCAGTATACCTAAAATAACCAAGAAAAACAAAATCAACCCCTCGAAGAAATTTAATTAAGCTTTCTAATAAACACTGCTCTTAAATCTGAATCAGTAAATATATACAAAATATACAAGGTTCCAGTTTCAAAACCATACACAAGCTTAGTGTGTATTTTATCAAAACTTTACATTACACGTAGTAAAGGAAGCCATGGCATCAAGGTTACCATTTGCATAACGTTAGTCTGGCATTTAGCTGCAGATAGCACGTTTTGTTTTCTTTGCATAATGAACATCAGCCTTGAGAAACGAAGAATTGCCTAGTTTTGGTGTCTCTTCATGTGCAAGGCTAAGTGGTCGGAACGGGAAAAACTGCGGTTGCAGACCGTGCAATGAAAGGGTTTTGCTCCAGTGTGTTTCCGGAAATGACGAGTCAGTTCATCAGAACGTGCAAATCTCCAGTCACAGCCTTCCCAGGTGCATTTGTAGGGCTTCTCCCCTGAAATGAAAAGGTGGAGCAATTACTTGACTGCTTTTACCAAATGAACCAGTTGGATTTCTTAAGGATATAGAATTGAGTAACATACTCCAATGTATTAAAAAGAAACACTTATCCATAGATTACATTTGTGTGTTTTTGTAAATGTTACAAAGCTCATCAATGTTCAGAAATTTGGGCTAATGTTTCCCCTTTTGCAACCTTGTCACTGCAGCTAGTTTTAACATTAAAATCAGACAGTTCAGCATGATAGGATTGAATCTGGGACCCTGTATAACAGAAGCACTGAGAATCATCAGGAACCTTACAGAATATTCTCAACATAATTAAATATTGTACCATATCAATCTTCAAGATACATATCTAGTATGCTGCAATTTCCAAAAAGCATTATTTGTCCTATTCTTACTCTTTCTTAACATTTACAAACTCACATTTTATTTTTTTCCCTTCCAATTTCCTCATTTATTTTTTTCCTTTCTTAAAAAATTAAGTTTAATTTGGATTATCCTGACTCATTTAAAAAAACAGCTTTTTCTATTGATCCATAGAACCTAACATTCAGTGAGCTGTGTGTGATTATTTCAAAGCTTCAGTAATCAGAGATTTTTTTTAATAAATTGGTCAAGCTTGAATGTGGTAAACACCAAAATAAGAGTCCAAATTTTGTACAAACTGATATGGAGGGCAATATGATAAGCTCCCCATACCAGCAAAACCTAATCTTTTTTCAAAACAAGAATTGCAGGATAGACTGTAGATTCACAAAGACTGATTATCTCACAAATCTACATATCATCTTGGGGGGAAAATGAAAATGTGTTGCAAAGTGATGCAATTGTAATAAAAATATTAAAAATAATCCTTGCATTTATTACAGCGCCTTATCATGTCTTCGAGACTTCTCCAAGAAATATAAACATCTGCATTTCATACATGCATCTATATTTGTATCTGCAATACAAAGTGAGCCTCGTGTAAAGAATCCACTTAAGAGTTGATGTTTACATCAGTATCCAATTAACAAGTATTCAGGATGACTAACAGACTGGGTTCGGTTTTACAGTATAAAGCTTCTGAATGACTACAGACCTAAGACTCTGGACATCAACATGCAAAGTTTCAAAGAACCAAGTGATTCTGATTAAAGTACAATTCCAGAAACATTGGTATAGTATCAATATGAAAAGTACAGCTGAAGTTATTGTATTGAACTTGGACAACCACAGCACAAGGTAGGAACAGTGCAAGAATTCAAACCAAATTCTCTCCACAACAAAACACTTAACTGCAGATTATTTCTCACTGATCGGTGGTAAATATAAATTCAGGTTCAAAACCAAGTTAACTATAGTTTTTCAGTAGGTTTACTGATAAGCTCTAGAAAGAGACAGCATTCTTTAGACATGATAAAAATCTGTTTTCACATACTTTTCCAGGTCTAATATTTCACATACAATAAGCATAATGAGAGATCAGTTGCAAAATGGAATGCAAGACATTTCTCTGTAGACAATGTGGCCAAGAAACCCTAGTAAGATCAATAGGAAACTGTTCACTACACCAAACAACCAAAGCAGCTTGACACTGACAGTGTGTCTGCACACAGCACGTCAAACTAAGTGGCAGCAAACAAAAATTGTTATTCAATTGTGTTTAATGGTGTTATGGATTCTAACAGTTCAATGAAGAAATCAGACAATAAATGCTTTGAATGATAATTTGTAACCTTCAGTGGACAGTTTTGATCTATAAACACGGGTAAAGAATGGAAAGATCAAGCAATTTTCCAACAAGAATGAAATGTGATCAACATAAGGTGACCCTGGGATATGATAGGATGTAATATCCTATCAGCAGGCTGATCTGAGAGCCACAGGCAGCAGACTGTCAAGCTTGTCAGCACACAATCACTTTTACATTACACAAGAAGTTACAGTTAATCTGATAAAAGGAGTAATGGTTATTTCAGCAAACAAACTTCTTGAAAATGCAGTTAAAGGGAAAATGAAAAATTCTGGCTGAGGGTAGAACGTGTTCATACTTTGGGGAAAAAAAAGAAAATTTCACAGTAAATTTGTAACCTGTGGACTGAGTTTATCCAAACACCTTGCGGTACATTTGTTCTGTGGGAATCCCTCTGGCATCAGTGAAGCATATCCACCCACAGAATGCTGCTCAGCCAGGACCTAGAGGATTATGCTTCAGAAGTTAGGAGATTCAATGCGACACAAAACAGAACAAGTACTGTATTTACCATTCCTGATTTCTGCCAGTAATTTCTTTTAACATTTTCAGAGTCCTTTCAGTTCCACAGGGACGGGAAAAAGGCCACAAAAACAAGGATATTGTTTATTTCCCCCACCCCACACCTCGGGGCAAACTGCTTGGGAAAGACACTTTGTAGAATTGGTGACAAAATAACCTCTCCTGGTCTCAAAACTTGGTGACAGCTTAATCAGTTTCTGCAAAGTACAGTTTAAGGATGTGTGCAAACGGTCATAAAATTGGACAAAATAAGCAGAATGGTTTATATATTAAAAAAATTGCACCAATATATCTCAAAGCACTTAATAGCAATTATGGTCAAGTGACCTTTTTTTCCCTAAGCAAAAATGGCAGCCAATTTGTCCACTGCAAGATCCTATAAATAGCTGAGATGAATGTTCAATCTGGAGGAATTCTAGCCAGGTTACCAGGAGTAAATCCCTTCTTTTTTCAAATAGTGCCATGCAATCTTTAACATCCAATTGAAGAATATGCAGATGAGACCTCAGTTTAATGTCTCACATGACAGACAGCACCTCAGAAATAAAAGTGCTCCCCCAATAATGTATTGAATACTCAGCCAAGATTGGGGCTTAAATCCACAACATTGCAACGGCAATTTAAGTAAATTCATGCTATAATAAAGCATGTTATAATGGGCTGTATTGTAAAAACTAGAAAAATTAGAACAAAGGGTTGATAATCCACAAGTACAAAGGAAGTAGCCAACAAAAACAGCACCAGGTTTCAACAAGAAATTTTTATGACACAATTTGTACAAAAGCGGAAAAAGAAAACACTTGCAGCACCACAATTACAGCATTATTGGGCAACGGAAGCAACAAAAAAGTCATGATTCAATGACCACAAAGACTGTACACTAAGCACCTCTGCCCCAATTCACTTGTATCAGCCCGTGGCAGAGAGCAGATGTGCTCACCACAAGTGGCTGCTATAGGTTCACATCACCCTTTAACAAACCTACAAATGATGCTACATCTTTGGTTGTAAGCCAAGGCCTGTTTGAACAATGATATTTATGATTACTAAATCATGTTTACATTAATTATGGTTTGTGAGAAGAAAACAAAACCATTCTTTTTTTAAACAAGATACATTCCCAAGATTTTGCAATGTTCAAAGAAAAAATTGGAATATATAATTTTCTATCATGACATCTCTACGCACACAGTCGCAGTATAAACAGTTGGGTCCTGTAGCATAGTGGTCAGAGCACTCGCCTCACAAGCAAGAGGACCTTGGTTTGATTCCCGGCCAGGGTTAATTGTTCCTTAAAAATATTTTTTTTAAATAATAATTTGGTCACTCAATCCACAACTGTTTGTAGGACACAGCTGTGCACAACTGGCTAACACATTTTGCCCACAGATTATACAGTCAATTCACCTTACAATATATTCTGTGTAGCACTTTGAGATGTCTCAAAGACCCTATATCAACTGCAAGGTTCATTTATTATTATAAATAATAGGTCACATACATTTCTATCCAATACTAGAAAGGTTAAAATTTAGAGGAAAGGGAAGAGATTTGGACCCATAACTTTCTTGACTCAGAAGCTATGTTGGTGCCAAGAGCTCCAGGATAAAAATTAACTTTGAAAGCTGTCAAGTTCAATTTACACAGAAGCAATGAAGTAAATTTTTTCGCCAAGTTGATCCAAAAATAAAAACAGTCGACTTTCTTCATACTGTTACACAAGATAGACCAATATTGTGAAATGGGATTGATTGTTCCACATGATATACATTTCATTACATCATGTTTGCATCCTGCACATCAAAAGGATAGATTAGCAGATTGATTGCAATTTAATTAAACATTTGGCTTTAATAAAATATTTTGAGAAAACCAGACATGCAGAACAGACAGGTTAAGTTAAAGTTAATTATATTTTAAATAACCAGCAGTCTCTGAGTCTAATCTCCTAAATTGCTCTAAATTGATCCTCCTCTGTAGTTTGCACTGCACATTTTGTTCTGCAACAGCTCCACAAAACGATAGCTATTTGTGTTGACTCAGTATCAAATCTTCTAGATGTTACCAGAAATGCTACCATTAGTTTAAAAAAAACGGAAAGCACTGCAGCTGTTTAAAGGACAATTCCCCATTTCCAAAATGAGGATAAAGTTTACAAATAGAAGTTAGTTGAGTGCACACATAACCCCTCAATGGCCCCACATCATCTTCTCTCTTACACCCACCCATTACCAATACCAACACCAAGCAACTGCATTAAAAAAATACAAGACTTGAGTCTGTTAGTGCACCATAAACAGCCCAAGTAAAAGGAATCAGGTGATGACCAATTGTCTTACTTCTTCCTAATGTTTAATCCCTTCTGCATTTAATAGTAAATAAAACTATGTTTACGTCATGTCAATTCCACAATGTTCTTAGACAATTCTAGGGCACACAACATTCAGAATAATTAATACTAATAATAATAATCCTTGCATTTGATATAGCGCTTTTCACGTCTTCTAGACGTTCCAAAGCGCTTCACAGAATATACGGTAAAGTGAATTGACTGTATATTTGTGGGCGAACGCGGCAGCCAATTGCGCACAGCAATGTCCCACAAACAGTCGTAGATTGAAAATGACCAATTTATTATTGTTTTTGTTTTTTGGAGGGATTATTATTAGGCGTGTGGAGTAGACAGAGGTAGACAGGGATAGAGAGAGACAGAGAGAGAGACTGAAAGGCAC